ATATAAAGAATTAAAAAATATCAGCCCCCACCCCAATTCAAAGACCCAATCCAAAAACAGGCAGCTGAGATGAATATACATTTCTCAGATGAAGAAATATAAACAACAAATAAATATATGAAAAAGTGTTCAAAAAAAAAGGATTGATGGAGGGCCATACTTCCAAAACTGTTATACAGATTTAATGCAATTCTGATCAAAATTCCAACAGCATATCTCACAGAATGAAAGAAAACAATCCTAAAATTCATTTGGAATGAGAAGAGACCTAGAATAGCAAAGGCAATTCTGGGCAACAAAGGCAAGGTAAGGGGCATCACAATCCTTGACTTAAAATTATACTACAGAGCTCCTATGATAAAACAGCATGGTATTGGCAAAAAACCAGACCTAAAGATCAATGGAACAGATTAGAAGATAAAGAAACAACTCCACAGATACTCAGCCACCTTATCTTTGAAGCCAAACACATTCACTGGAAGAAAGGCTCTTTAATAAATGATCCTGGAAAAACTGGTTCTGCACATGCTGAAGATTAAAACTGGACCCATATCTTTCACCATGCACTAAACTAAATTTGAAATGGATCAAAGATCTAAATACTATTTTTTTTTCTTTTTTTTTTTTGTCTTTTTGAGACAGGGTCTCACTATGCAGTTCAGGCTGGCCTTGAGCTCACTTTGCAGCCCGGGTTGGCCTCGAACTCGCAAAGATCCTCCTGCCTCAGCCTCCCGAGTGCTGGGATTACAGGCGTGCACACCACACCTGGCTCAAAGATCTAAATATTAAAACAGAAACATTAAATCTGTTGGAAGATAGAATAGGTAAAACTCTTAAAGACATTGGTGTAGGCAAAGACTTTATGAATAAAACCTCAATTGCACGGGAACTATCACAAAGAATCAACAACTGGGATCTCAATTTATTAAAAAGCTTTTGCACAGCAAGAGAAACTACCAACAGAGTGAAGAAACAACCCATAATGTAGAAAAAAATGTTTGCTGGCTGTTCCTCAGACAAAGGATTATTATCAAGAATGTATAAAGAATTAAAAAAATCAAACTTCCCAAATTTAAAGACCGAATCCAAAAATGGGCCTCTGAGATGAATATACATTTCTCAGATGAAGAAATATAAACAACAAATAAATACATGAAAAAGTATTCAACATCACTGGTCATTCAAGAGATACAAGTTAAAACAACACTGAGATTCCATCTCATCCTGGAAAGAATGCCTATTATCAAGAAATCAACCAATAACAAATGCTGGAGGGGCTGTGGGGAAAAAGGAACACTTTTCCACTGCTGGTGGGAGTATAAACTGTGCAGCCACTGTGGAAATCAGTGTGGAGATTCCTTAAAACATAGGATTGGAGGTCCCATTTGACCCAGCTATTCCCCTACTGGGCATCTTCTCAGAATAATTAAAAACATACCACAGTGATATATGTGCATGTTTATAGAAGCACAATTTGTAATAGCTAAATCTTAGAAACAACCCAAATGCCCATCAACAGGGGAATGCATAAAAAAGATG